GTCCGGTGGCACCTTAAAGACTAACAGATTTATTTGGGCATAAGCTTTCGTGGATAAAAAACCCACTTCTAAGCTTATGCCCAAATAAATCTGTTAGTCTTTAAGGTGCCACCGGACTCCTTGTTATTTTTATAAAAGGGGAGTAATTTTCAGAGGCTGTATGCACAGCAGTTACTGAAAATCAGGTCCCCAGTCTAAGGTATCTCAAGCTGGGCCTCCAAAATTGTTAGTCACTCTTAAAAATCTTGGCTGAAGAGATCAGCAGGTGGAAAGTGTTTTATTTAAACTCTTATTAAAAAAATACTATAATATTCTACAGTAATGATCCAAAACACCACGTTACATTACTGTTAATGATTTATGTATCTTTTTTCATATGTATTTACCGAAATCAGCGGCTGTAGCGGATGTTGCCACTGACCCACAGGCTGAGCAACCTGCTGAGGTGAGTCGGGGTGGAGGTGGCACTCCCTCCCCTGCAGGGCCTGGCCCAGGTCCCGCCCGGCTCGCCCCCCCATTCTTCCACACACCCCACGAGGTATGCTCCACAGTTTGAAAACCTCTGCTCTATTTGGATAAAGGAACAATAAGCAGTGGTATCAGCTTCTAAGACCATAACAGTATGCACAGCTGCCAGCACATGTGGTCTACCAGCAAGTGAAAAGATAAACCCTGTACCTTACACAGGATAAAAGATAGCACATACTTAAGTGTTTAAGCCAACCTGATCTTGCCGTTTGGGGATAACTAATGAATACTGGGAATCATTTTTTCTATTGCTCCAAAAACCTAGAAAATATATGCTCGCCAAAAGCAGCAAACTGTGCAGCTGAAAAGATTTACACACTGCAACACAATACAGATATTAATAAAAATTTAGAGAAATATAGTCTGTTTCCCCCATTCTCAATCGCTTATGACTTTACCTGCTAATGGTAGGCTTTTCTCTATGTATTGTAACATGTGCATAGTCACGGGAATTATACCACCTGTCTCATTTGCAGCTCTGAACAGAATCTCTTTTATACATTTCTTCATAGAGCAGTGTGCTTGTACTGTCTCCTACTGAATGGAATCAGAACTCCTCAGCTTCGTTCCGTAAACTCTGATACTGCAATAGCTGTATAGACGTTTCTCCTTTAGCTGAAGTGGGGGAGAGGGGGAGGAGGAGGCTAGTGATTTGGAAACAGGAAGATCTAGGGTACAATCCTGTTGTCACTAAAAAGTTTTGGATGGCAACAGTAAGCAAAGTAATCACACTGAAAAGTTCTCCCTGGGTCATGGATTTGTTAAAATGGAGTTGATGTATTTTTTTTTTTTTTTTTTTTGCCATTTCCACTGCTTTGTACTTACTGGAAAGCAAACCAGAAGAAAAAAGATCCTGTGAAGATACAGCAACAAATTTGGTTTTCTATCTACATATGAGAATCCAAACTATGGTTTGAATACATTTTTCCAAAGCTTTCAAATGGTCATTTCTTCCAGGTGTGTGTCTGTCTGTCTCTCATCTACCCACCCTCAACGAGCCAAGTAACCACCTATGTCCAGATTATGCAACACAGCATACATGGTAATTCTATGTAGGTTTGAGCCAAAGAAGTGCCGAGCACGCAACTCTTACTGAAATCAATGGGAGTGGAAGGTGCTCCACATGTCATGGGAAGAGCACAGCACTTCAGATGATCAAACTACATATGATGTCCTTCAACATTTAGAACACGTAAATGGAAGAAAGGAATAAAAAGGACATTTTTATCAAGTAAGCCTTCTGTTTTACTCCTATTCATAGTTACATATACTCCTGTTTGTGTCTTTGTGCATTTAAAGCATGAGTTATATCACACAGTCATTTACCTCTTACAGTACAATTTCTATTAGACATGCTATTTCCTGTATGTAGTTCTGCATTACATTCCCAGTCCAATATATAAACAACAAACAAACAAGCACTAAAATAGATTATTCTCTGCACATCTGTCCACATGCAAGGATTGCATACAGGAGACATGATTTATGAAGATTATATGAATATCGCACCAAGTTATGCTACTTTGGTAAACAATGGAACATAATGGCCAAATAAAAGAAGAAAAGCCAAAATAAAAATGTGAGCATCCCAGGCATACAGAAACTGACAGCCCCACTTGTCAGGGTGGACATACCTAATTCACCAAGTATATAGAGGATAGAAACAACAAGGAAAGCAAGGAACTGTTTAATGTGGTTAAAGAGTAATAACCAGGAGTAATTGGCTTACACTAAACTAAGAAAAAATTAGGCTAACTTCCTACTGATGAGATGCATCAGATAGTGGAACCTATTCAACTGTGCGAGTGTCTTGCTGTGGAACTGTATTGGGGGAAAAAGATAGAAAATAGGGAACAATCCTGTGTTGATTCCAAGGCGATGGACTAGATGACCTAAAAGGCCTTTTTTCCCCGATCTCTGACATCTATGATACAATAAACATTTAACCAGAACTGGGGAAAACAGCTAGTACACCACAAAGAGGACATCCCATGGTAGGATGGAGCTGGAAATAGAAAGGAAGAAAGGATAGAAATGGGGACAGACAGTAGGTTGAGACTGCGTGAAAATAAAAGAAAGCTTCTGATGCCGCAGAGTGCAGAGTAAGTGAATTAAGAAGTGGTCTAGTAGAAAACGCAGGGGTGACTGCATAGGAGGATGGCTTAACAGGTGACCACACAGGCAAATAATGATTTCCTGAGTGACTTAAAGTTCAACTCATATTTGTTTCATGTTGATTTGTTTCATAAGTACAACTACACAGTGGGTGAGGAAACCCTATGTTCCCAAAGCATGTTCTAGACACTGCTGGAAAATGGATGGTGCAGAAATGTGCTATTGAGATCAAATGCCCCAGAACCACAGCCAAAATTTGCTTCAGCTGCCAGCATTAGAGAGAAAATAGGAAAGAAAGACGACTAATTTGGGAAAGGGAATGGCTGGGAAAGGAAAAGAAACGGGGATGACAACTGCAGAGCTACTTAAAATCCTTTGGTGACTAAATGGATCAGAGAAATTAGAAACAGAAGCGAATTACTGTATCTAGTCATCTGATCCATGCCCTTGTCACTGCAGGACTGGTCCCAACCATGTATTTGAAGTTGATTTGTCTATTCTAGTTGTAAATATCTCAAGTAAGGGACTTGAGAACTGTTAACAAACATTATATATAGGATCAATCACAAATACATTAGGTAATTTAATGGTTACCTGACCTGAAGAGTCAAGGTGAAATGCCTTGTTAGGAGTGATACTAGGGTATAAATGGAACATATAGTTACCACTTACGACATATTTTAGGATGTCTGTATGTATTATCAAAAAGTTATTTACCCAACAGCTAGATGGGTCACCAAAGGCTACATGGGTGACCAAAGCTAGTGGCATTGTATGTGACCACAACAAATGGAAAGAGCACAAAGGATATGATCTTGCATGATACTAAGCACTCACAAGCTTCCGTGGACTAGTGAGAACTGAGGGAGCCCAGCACCTTGCAGGATTGGTCCTATCCAGCTAAAAAAAAAAGTAAGATGACCCCCAATGATTTTGGTGCCACATATTGTCCTAAATCCACTCCCCTGAATTAAAAATCAATTTATAATATACAGGTATAGTTTATAAGGGGAAGCCTGAACATGATTGCCTGCTCCCCATCCACCCAAGATGGATACATGACTCTATTTTATACAGGGTTTCCACTAAAATTATTGCAAAGGTAAACAAACTCTGGCTCAGTATGAACGCAGGGAAAACAAGACTTGTCAGAATGCAAAAAGGAAGAGCTCATTTTCAAAGCAACATGAGGATATTTTCTCCAAAGTAGAGCTTAATTATTCCAGATTGTAAACCAAGGGCATGATTGTTCCATCCAAAATTATACTGATCTTGATAATGTTATCAATATAATGCAACCACAACATGAGCACAGCCCTTAACACTGGCCAAAAAAGGAAACTGATACAGACTATCTCCACCTTCAACCTGAACTTTTGAACAGGATTGTATAATTATGAACATTTAGTAAACAAAAGAATGCTGGCATCATATTTCAATACAAACAGTGTTTCAATTTCCCTTATTACAAAAAGGCTGAGAATCTAGAGCATAACTGCCTAATTCATTCAAGAATTTCAAGGCACTGTCCTTGGCACACACTGAATGCCAAAATAGGCAGTTCCATTATTTATGGTGCAAAAAAGCAGCAGGCATAGTGGTTATAAGTGTTTGCATTAAAGTGCACTGTCATTTTAATACTGTCTTCCTTCTTAAAAAAAAAAAATCAAATAAAATGGTCTACAACTCCTTGTCCTGACACTTAATAAAAATAACAGCTGCATATTCCCATAAAATGACTCTAAAATCAAGTCAAATTAGAAGAATTTAAATATTTCTTTTAAAAAGGAGCCGATTAAAAATAAAATAAAAAAAAGTTCTCCCTGCAGAGTGCTCTGCATTGTAGGTGGTGTTCAAGAGTCAAATCAAAATGCCAACTACAATGTTACATGCTTTCCTGTACGCTTTCAGGTTAATAGCACTTTACAGAAAATCCATTCCGTTTCACTGCAATATCAGTCCTCCAGCTGACAATCTTATTGCAAAAAAGGCGTGAATAAATTGGTCCTCCCACCAATCTGTCATCTACACAGTTGCAGGTGTGGATGCTGGTGCAGTTTTTGCATCAGCTCTTCCTCTGTAGGTTCTTCCAAAACATCCCTACAAAGAAAAAAGCGTAAGTTGCATAGGGCAGCAAAGGAGATTTTTCAACATTTTTTTGCAACGTACATACTGAGATATAACATCCTTATTTCAAGACTGAAGCAAATAATTACAATTACAACAGGCTGATGCTTCCTAATGATGCATCCAGTTGTGAGCGATCCATCCTTCTACACTACAGATGTGTCATCGAAACCAGCAGCTGTTTTCCCATAAGGAGAAGGGAAGCAATTTCCTGCACACAGTACAACATAACTGAGGTTAATGGATGTGTTTTCCTGAAAAAACTTGTCAAATGAGAACATGCTCCCAGTGCAGCCATTGCACATTAAATCTGTACCACACGTTCTACTTATGCAACACGATCAACTCTCCACCCACAGTCTAACACAAAGCCAAGAATGTGGACTGTTTTACCCTTCCCACCCAGAGCAGTCCTTCATTATTAGCACCTCTTTTCCCAGCATCATCTGAGTGGAATGTTCCTAAAGGTTAGGTATTAAGCCAGGGCAGGGCAGGCATAGGTAAAGCACTTTCAGGACTGCTCCAGGCTAATAGCTAAAAGATTTGTACTCTTACTCACCAGGCTTGAAGCAAACCCTGTTCCCACCTGGAACACTGTCTTTGAAAAGGAGATTAGCATCCTTAAAAATAGGCTGTTATCCACCTAGTCCTAATGTGACTCACCTGAACATTAATTCCACTGTTGTCTGGTATTCAATTTCTGAGAGAGACTGCCGATGGGAGTGACGGTCCCACTTGTGAATAAAGTTCTGGAATTGGAAGGTGAAAGAAAATAAAAGGCTAGTGTTAGCATCTTTAGACATAAGGTTTTATATTTTCCCCATGGTTTAGTTTATATAAATCCCCCTAAAGCCCAGAACAGAAATGTTCTTAGAGCCAGTTATACATGTATATGAGGTGCATAATAATGAACCAAAATACCAAATAATAAAAATATTACTTTTGCACTTCACTGAATTAACTTAACACTTCAACACACCACTTTGAGGTAAATCACTGTTTACGTTTCTGTGCCTCAGACAGGGATGAGTACCTTGCTCATGGTCACACAGTGAGATGGTGGAGGTAAAAATAGAGGAAAGGGACTGAAGGCCTCCTGGGTCCTATACCGTGTACAAACTGCATTCCCTGATTTAAATGTCACATTTTTAAAATGTCCCTGCTAGCATTCACCTGCTTAAGTTCCCCCTGGATGAAGAGCAATTTCTTTGACATACTTCAAGTTAAAATGTCACAGCTTTATCAAAGAAGGAATACATTTTCTGGCTTGTCTCTTTGCTTGCTTTGATTTACACAATGACAAGAGGCAGATGGACAAGTTTCCTGCCACACAGTGCCACATACAAGCCACTACACCAGATCTATGCCCCATATCTGCCGAAAAAGTCAATGGATCTCTCTGCAGGGCTGTTCCCAAGGGTAGAATATCTTCTAATATGCTCACAGATAAGGCTTGGACTTGATGTTGGCAGTCCAGAGTCTATTTTGTAGCTATTTAGACTTCCAGAAAGGATGCTGAGGCAAGTGACTGGTAAAGCTGCAGGCTTGTCATGACAATATTTTTATATACTAATTTCAGCACCATCTTTAAAACCTGCTTCATCATCACCATTCTCTAGAAAGCAACCTCTTTAAATCAGGCCAGCCTCTCTGGACTTGGCCTCAGTGCCTTTGCAGGAGTGGAAAGTCATGGCTCCGCCTCTGCAAACGTGGAATGGCTTTTTCTGGAATCCTATAGAGCCAGGTCTCTCTGCAATGGGCATGGCCACCACAAACCTGCAGCCTAGGTGACTAGTACTGGAGATACACAGGTAAGTACAGCGCACAGGCAAGTCTGTGGTATTTATAGCAAATAAGAACACCTTACATTTATACCTTTCAAAGCTGTTTACAAACTATAATCATTCAGCACCAATAAAATGCAAACCAGCTCTGGGGCAGATCGTGATGGCCAACCAGCAAATAGTATAACATACAACAAGGGAGCAGGAAAAATGCAGTCCAAAAGACCCTAGGAAAAATACTTACTCTTGCAATGAGTGCTCTGGAGTCTTTAACATCTACACAAAGCAAGCAGGACCTTGGTTTGTATGACCTCATCCAGAAAATACACCCTCCAGCTTAATAGTTCTCGTGTGCTAAGGTGTGACCAGACATCACAAGAATAGTTGGGACAGTTCATGCTAATAATAACTGTTCTCTTTTCATTCCCATTAGAGGATATTGGATGGACAATATTCTCTAAAGTTAATTTAATTATTATGTCCATAATTACTCTTATCACTAGATGTCCTCTTAAGCTTGGACAAGCTTTGGATTTATTCCATCACTGAGTGTTCAACTTCACATAATGGCAAAACTCTACTTCCAATAGATCTGCATACAAATTCTCACACCCTTCAAGAATCTACAGCTAAAACTCATTCCCTTACCTCCAGAAGTAAGGCTACGAACAAATTGACCCAGATGACAGAGGAAATTAGCCACCAGGCTACAAAATAGACCTTTGACCACCTGGAGAAGGAGGATATTAAAGACAAAAAAATAAAGATGTGTACAATATTATGAGACTAACAATTCCACCTTATAATGAAAATGATTATCCCCTGTCTCCATCCCTTAAAAAGCCATGAAAGTTCATAGCTATGGACTTACATTTTTCCCTGTGAAAAGCTTCAACATTTTCATAAATAAAAACAGTAGTCTGGGAGAAACCATTTGTTAAGTTTGGATCTCAATCAGTTGAGAGATAAATGTACTGTCCCCCATCAGAATCCGCCCTCAACCACCCCTCTCACAAACACACACTCATATCACATCAATTTCCGAGTCGGAATTCTGAAAAAGAAATATGAAGTGAAATCTTGGCTCCACCAAAGTCAATGGCAAAACTGCCACGGTATAGTGCATTGTGCTTTAACCAACTGAGACACCAAAGGAAGGAAAAATTAACTTAAAGAAAATCAAGATTCTTAAACTTTACCTATGTTTATTTAATGCGAATGAAAGATGCTAGACTGACAACACAGGAGACTGAACACCTCCGTTTATCCACAGAACTGATACAGCGGCAACACAAGCTTCCCTATAGTGATCTACCAACACATCTCAAGGTTGGCCTTGAAGGCGCACAGGCGGGTGAAGCAAACTCATATGGAGTCCAATCTCCAGGGTCAATTCAATTCTGGGTCAAGTCAACTGCCAAAGATTCCAAATTATTGCTAAATGTGATGCCCACTGGGCGCTGGACTGAGACTACCAATTTACATAGACAAATAAACAGCTGTCCATTAAGTGGCAAGTTTTGGTTACTAGATACTTAGGTGGATTTGAAGAGTGGCAGTTCCATAGCAGCAGGCAGGCAGTTTCATACACAATTCCTGTTCCCCGATCATAATGTGAGGTCTGTCTATAGTTTCTGCCCATTTACTTTGAAGAACTATGTTGAATAGAACACAGGATTATACCCCAATGGAGGGCCTTCTTAGGTACCAGTTTTATTACTTACGGACTTGAATATCTTGAAAATGCATCCAGGAAAACTTGCCAATTGTTCACCACCATGACATCCCAGAGAGTTACTACCGCAGCCTAAGGAACAAGATGAAACAGAGGTTGAGTGGTTATTGCACTAACTGTCACTACTTAGACACCTTCAGAAAACACAGAACATAATCCACTAGCAACCAGACTCACAGCAAAGTCATCAAAGTTGTTTGGCCAATACTCCAACTGCTCGTAGGTGCCACACTGCAAGGTGCTGTTACCAGATGTTGTATTGACAACACTACAATGAAATTAGAGTGTAATGTTATTATAATATGCTATTCACTGTTCTATAGGTAGAATGCTTCCATTGAGTTGAGTACCTTCACACAGACAGAAAGGGAGCACTAGTTAGAGAGAGAGCAGAAAAGAGGTCTGAAATTTCCAAGATGGGGATGAGCATTCCTGGAGACTCAAACAGTGAAGGGAAGTTGGAAGGATAGAATAGTGAGCAGGGGAGGAAAACCTGCAAGATTTAAGAGATTAGTGACAGACTGGAGAGAAAGGAAGAGAAAGATAAGGAGGGAAAACCAAGGGGCTCAGAGTAAGCGAGTCCAAGATTCTTGGCCCACCACAAATTAAAAAGTATACTATAATAGTGAGGAGTGTACAGAAGAGGAGACTGTGGATGGAGGTACTTATCAAAGAGTCCAGGGAGATAAGAACAGAGGTATAAAGTGGGGATTCAAAAACCAAGAGTATCTTTCCAAATACTGGACATTTAGAATAAAGCCTTACCTAGTATTTCCCATAGGAACAACAGCACCTTTAAATAGCACTATGCCAGTTATAGCAAACGCATAGAAAACCACCTGGAAAGGAATACACATTAGCATTAGTCACTAAAATACTCAAAAACTATATTAGAGTGTTGTAAGGTAAGCTCCTCAAAGACCATTCAATGTTAAAAAGGAACACAATCAACTTAAAACTCATGGAGTAACAGAGGTAAGGGAATTTGTTTAAAACAATGCCAAGGGTTATTAAAAGTGAAAGAACTTTTTAAAGCCCACTTATTTTTCACTCTATGCTGTATGCTTTCTTTCTATAGTCCATTCAGTGGGGAATTGTTAAAAAAAACTGATGAAGTCACTTTTCTTTATGATAAGTTTCACCTTTTGGTTCTCAGTGCTGTGATGGCTGAACTGAAAACACTGCAGAGGAGTGGCTGTTAAAAACAATTTCTATTGGGATTTTTAAAAAGTTATGGGAAGATTGCTGTTGGACTTAGGTTTCCTAAAAGCAAGCTTCTACCAAACCTAAGCTGTGGCCAAATTTAAATCAGCTATTTATATTTAATCAGAAACCTTTGTAAAAGCACAGCTGTAATCGTGCTAAAGTTAAATTTTCAAAAGTACTTCAGTGACTTCAGAGCATAATTCCCAGGGCCGGCTCTAGCATTTCTGTTGCCCCAAGCAAAAAAAAAACCGCAATCGTGATCGGCGGCGGCAATTGGGGAAAAAAAAAAAAAAGCCACGATCGGCGGCGGCAGTTCAGCGGCAGGTGCTTCGCTCCTACAGGGAGTGAGGCACCTGCCGCCCCAGAATTGCCACAGATGCCGCCCCTCTCCCTTGGCCGCCCCAAGCACCTGCTTGTTAAGCTGGTGCCTGGAGCCGGCCCTGATAATTCCCATTTTGAAAAAGGACCAACTCCCATTGATTATCAATGAGCACTAAGTGCCTTTTGAAAATGGGACTTATGTTTTTAAATTACTCAGGTACTTTTGAAAATTTTACCTTATGTCAGGAGTTGCCTTAGAAATAACCTTCAGAGAGTTGTCAATGCTTCACAACTCTTACTGAAGAAAGCATCACTTGCTACTAGGCTGGCTTGAGACAACATGAGCTTTCTAGTGAAAATACTAGGATAACTTCAGTTCTCATGTTTCTATATAGTTATTAAAAAAGTCCAAAGAAGGAAAAGAGTATTATGCTCTGAGCTACATACAACAGGATTTTAAACATGTTGGATCCAGTTGATGCTACACCTCCATAGTCTGCCAGTAGGTGGGGCATCTGGCTTACCGTAGCAATGATAAACCAGTTTTATTCCCTGTAACACCAGCTAATATACACAATAAACAGTCAAAAGAGAAACTGGCCAATAAATAATGAACATGATACTAACAGTATACGTTGCAGACTAACGTTGGAAAAAATAAGTCTCAAATCAACAACAAATGTAATAAGGCCCCATCATGCAAGAAAATCAACTGAGCATCCTCAACTCCAACTTCAACAAAAATATTTGAAATTAATGATAGTTGAGGGTGCTCAGCCTATCGCAAGATCCGTCTCAGACTGTAAGCTCCTTGGGGCAGAGACTGCGTGCGTCTCCTGTCCGGGAGCATGCAAGCCGCTTGCACACAATAGCACAACCAGGGACAGCTGCTGGTGAACCCGGTGCCTGCCCCCATGGGCAGGGCTGGGGACGCTACAGCCACACTGGAGAAGCTGCCCGGCCTGGACGCTGGCTCCTGTGAGCCGAAGCCAGACGTGCTGCTGCTTTCACCGCTGCAGTTCCTGGTAGAGCTCTGCAGCTCCGCGGATATCCACTTTATATCCGCAGATATAAATTCTGTATCTGTGCAAGGCTCTAGTTGTTTGGGGTGGTTTTTAATGTGGGCAACGTATATTTCCTTAATCTTCTTCTTGGACATGGCTGAACTGTTTCAGCTGAAACTTAAAAAAAAAGACCTGAGGCAGAAACCAGAAATTTCAGCCTGAATGCTTAAAGTTTTGTAAAGTTATAAGTAACTGAACGGAGGGTCTTCGAATGGAAAGTTGCTACCAGTTCCACATTTAATAATCAACCAGTTTGTTGACCCCTTAGGAAGGGTTGCACTGCGAGAGGGCAAGATGAACACTTGGAAGCAAATATCTGATGTGCTGTTTGATGGCACTCAGTCATGTAGCTTCTGCTATTGTTACTGGGGACAATGTATGTACCTCTCCCTGGTTTACTTTGTTGAAAGCATACTCTATATTGCAGCATATTATAGAAAGACTGACAATCTCGAATTGTAACTCACCACCAGCAGCCCTGCAAAGGCTCTTAAGTTTTTCACCAGATCCAGCAATGTACTGGCAACCAAAGCCATGAACTAAAACAAAACACAGAATTCTTATATTTTATTATACATTTTTAAGCCCCACTAATCTATTGTAACTAAAATGATACAAAATGATGGCAGGCTGGGAAAATGAAGTGCAGCTAAATACTTTGCATTTCTAATACAGCATCTAGCACAGTGAGGTCCTGACTCATGCCTGGGACTCCTAGCTGCTATGATAATACAAATAATAGCAGTGATTTTCATCCACGGATCTCCACATACTGAGTACAGCTAATGAATAAAGCCGTATACTCTTCTGAGGTGGATGCTATTACAATAGTACTGTCACAGTTTCGCAGTAACTGCACATGTATTCCCTCTCTGTGGTCCTTTCAGGGCATCCATTTAAAGCTTTCAGGCTCCCAGCCAACACCTGTCTTCAGCTAAGACCCTTGTCTTTCTCCCTCCTGATGGGGGTTTCACAGATTCTTGGGTTACACTGTGATATCCCCAGCAAACCAGATTGCCTTAACAGGCCAATATCTGCACTTTGCTTTTTCTCTGAAGTGTACTGCCAGTTATGTTACCACACAGCTCCATCTAAGTAAACACATCTATTCTTAAGGTAAACAGACTACAGAGAAAACATATTGAATCAACAAAAGAACCTACACAAATGCTGAAAAGCTTACCATAGGTCACCCCAGCTCCAGCCAAGGGCAGCCACAACTGGGTCCCCCACTCCCCATCCCCTCGGACTGGGCAGAACAGCCGTTTCTTTAACTGGCTTGGACATTTGACCTTGGCCTTCAATAACAGGTAAATCAGCAAACAAACACCCATTCAGGGCAAAACTTCAAAAGGCTGGGGTTTTGCATGCCCAGAGTTGGGGAATTTGCATTAACCTCACCCTAGCGAATCCCCAGAAAATCCACTTAATACTTATTGTCCCAAAAGTCCACACTTGTCTGGCACATTTTCAATAGTCTTTTGTACTCCCAAGTAGTTACATAGGTTACCTCTCCCCCCGCCCAAAGAGTTATATACAATCCCAGCCCAGAAAAATACATAAATTTAATAGTCAAGGATACTGCAGGAAATTGTCGTTTCTGTCATAATTACAGACTGGGAAACTGAGGCAAATACCTTAAGTGACTTGCCCAGAGTCAGATGGTGACCACAGGTGAGCCAGGATGGAGTCCACAACTCCTGACTCTTGATCCCATGTCTGAACCATTAGACCACACTTCCTCACTTTCCAGTTTGCACTTCACCCTGACATTAGCTAAACATTTGTTTTACTGAACTGGGATGCAAAGGCTCCAGGGATCTCCCAGCCTAGGCAGCCAGAGAGACCTCACCCAATTCTGAATAGGGTAATGTCTCTCTTGGAACTACCCAAGCCTGCTTTCTTCCCAGGTGCAACCTACAGTCTGGTACTAGCTGCGCATACCATATGGATATGACACGCAACAAGGCTGAGCCAGATTGTTCCTTGGCTGATCTGTCCCTCATATGAGCTCACCACTGCTCTAAGCAGCTTCCCTATTTCCAGGTGTACAGCTCCAAAAGTTGGCTGTTTTTGCCTTTCTACAGCAGGGTCACTTGCTATACACTAGCCTCTGTTGTCCAGGACCAAAGCTTTCAGCTGACCAGAGTGCTAAGAGAATTAGAAGGACTCAGTCTTAGAGCAACACTGTATTATCATTAATGGTTAATACTGGCATCACTTGATACAAATCTGAAATAAGAGAGACAAGGTGGGTGAGGTATTATCTTTTATGGGCCCAACTTCTGTTAGAGAGACAAGCTTTTGAGCCACACAGAGCTCTTCTTCAGCTCGGAGTACCTTTCCCAGACCTGAAGAGCACTGTGTGGCTCAAAAGCTAGTCTCGGTCACTGACAGAAGTTGGTTCAACAAAAGAAATTACCTCACCCACCTTGTCTCTCTAATAACCTGGGACCGATACAGCTACAGATACACTGCAAGCCAGAAATAAGTAAGATTTGCACTTTTAAGGGGAAAATTTCCATATACTGAATCAGCTCTTTGAATCTGAGGTGAAATTGGGCGTGGGTTGTAGGTGGGTAGGATTGGGTATGAGGATGCGGGAAGCAATTTCAGTTACAAGGATAAGTGCACGGGCATTTCACCTTTGTGAATCTTGGTTCAAATCCTTACCTAGACTGCAAGTGAAAAAGTGGTTGTCTCATCCTAGGTTGCTGTTTACATGAAGGACAAAATCCCAATACAAGGCCCTCAAACACAGGGTTTGTTAACGAAATTAGGTGGGGGAGCCAGCGTAACACCTAGAAACTATTGTAAATTCCTCATTTTAGTTGAACCCACTCAGGTGTTCAAGAGGGGAAACATAAGACAAAAGGTCACTTATCGGGTACGTATACACTGCAGCTGGAATTTCCACCTCGGGTAGACATGTGTGCGCTAGCTTTCATCCAACTAGTGTGCTAAAAATAGCAGCGTGGCCACCGCGACTTGGTTGCAGCTCGGGCAGCTGCCTGAGTACGTACCTAGGCTCTCTCACGGACTTTACTTGAGTAGCTAGCCTATGCTGCCACAGCTACACTCAGGTCCAGATTAACCAATGGGCAACTCGGTGCACTTGCACAGGGCCCCATCTTAGGCAGGGCCCCCGATGGGCAACTGGTGACTGCGGGGCCACATCCAAACAAGCAGATCATTGTATATAGCCCACCCCCACATCACTCCACATGCTGGAGGGGGACTGAGAGCGAGGAGTTTCCAAGTTGTAAACCCAACTCCGATGCCTCTTCAATGCAATTCAAACCCATCTGCGATGAAAAGGGTTATTATTCTGAGAAGGTTCTAGGAAGTTTTATCATTGGACTAGTCAAGAATTCAGGAAGTGAGAAAAAGCAAGGCACACGCACCTTCATATTAGGGATAATCCGCAGAAATCTGAATACAATTAGCATATTCACCAGGCGCACCATATCCCACAGAGACAGCAACCCCATCATTTCGGGTCTCCTACAAAAGACACATGAATAATGGAACAAATTAGAGAAATAGCTAGTGACAAAAAAAAAAATCAGCAGAGAAGCAACTGATGATAATTTTTTATTTGTTCTTCACAAATTTTCTCAGCATTTGTGGGTTAACAATTTTTAGAAAAAGGAAGTTCTATTTCATCATGTATAATCTCTCTATAAACCTAATGCTGACAGTTACAGAGCTGAGAATTTACCTGACCGGAGTCTCGGCCACAGGAAACATTAATGACAGAAAAGGAAGGGATTCACAGATAGCTGCCATCACTTAAGCTACAATTTTAAATGCGGACATGACATACCAGCATCTCTAGCTGTTTAAATGTGTATTGAAATGCCTGGTCAACTGATTTCGTTTCTACCAGACAGCCCTTCTCCTATCTCCTCAAAGGAGATTGACTTTGTGTAGTTTGAATTCTCTGGATGGAAGTGAAAGGAATAGGTTAGATGTAAGTCCCTTTGGAAACCTGAACCTGTCTAGGTACGCTGCATCCATGCTGAGCCCAGCTACTACTAATTCGTGAGGGAGGAGAGAAGCGAGATCATGGCAGTGCACTTCATTACTGATAGACTGGCAGAATGCTCTACCCATTTAGATTCCTTTTCTAAAGTCCATGTTAAAAATGTGTGTAGTTAGCAGGCAGACCTCATGATCTTATAGGATATTTTAATTAAAATATTCCAAGAAAAAGAAAAGCATCGATCACGTTCAAACTCTTCTACTATTTTCAGTGATAATTCCTTACTCATAAGGATTTGTTTTTATCCTTCCAAGTAGTAACTTTCACAGTCGATGAATAGCAATGAAAAATACAAAGAGTGCAGTGCATATAAGAGATCCCAGAGTAGTGCAGTTACAAAAGGGATGTGCATTATTAGCTACTAATACACTAATAGAATTGGTTTTGCTGGACTCAGGCTTCAAACTACACACTGAATTCACACAAATTATCATACATCCTGCCATGCCTTATTGCTAAACTAAAACAGCATTCTGCACATTACAGGGAAACATTTGAAAACTCAGTGCTAATAATAGTCGGCTTTTACATTGGAACATTGTGTGCTTCTGTTGCTGGGAGGGAAAAAGGCTACTAGAAAATGGGAAACTCTCCAACAAATAAGTGAAAATTCCAAAGCCATGATTCAGGTAACAAAGATACTCAATCCAAATCCTAAAACAAGAACTAAGAAATCCCAGCACAGAAGGCATACTCTGGAAATATTTTAATACTCTGCCAGTTATGTCCACACTGTGATAAAAAACCCACAGCACCAAGTCTGATCTGGACAAATTGGAGAAATGGTCTGAGTTAAACAGGATGAAGTTTAACAAAGACAAATGCAAAGTGCTCCACTTAGGAAGAAAAAATCAGTTTCACACACACAGAATGGGAAGAGACTGTCTAGGAGGGAGTACGGCAGAAAGGGATCGTAGGGGTTATAGTGGACCACAAGCTAAATATAAGTCAACAGTGTGATGCTGTTGACAAAAAAAGCAAACATGATTCTGGGATGTATTAACAGGTGTGTTGTGAGCAAGACACGAGAAGTCATTCTTCCGCTCTACTCTGCTCTGGTTAGGCCTCAGC